TATAGGATCGATACGCTGAGGAGTCGATGGATCTTGTTCGACTATTTCATAGACCACATCCTTGTAGTGCACTGGTTCCTCACGTGGTGGGGCGCGGCTTATCGAACTAGTGCTCTTGCGGCACCAAGGAAATCTCTGATGTGAGTCATTTGAGTTGCTAACGTCTGATAACTCTGCACCGAATTCTCAATCAAAGGTCGTAATATGAGACTCATCTGTTGAGTCAGCATATTGACCATATCATGATTACTTTCTTCCAACAGTACTTGGGGTTGAAAGTATGTATAACTTGGTGGGAAAATCCCAATCCAGTCAAATGACTAAATTGAGTTCCCGACAACCCTGGAGCACGATATAGGGAAAATGTCGACGCAGAGTTTTCACTAAATGTCGGACTGTTGTTATGTACTCTTTCCATCATTGTTGTTGGTGTTCCATATTCATGTATATCTCTTGCAAAACTAGGCACATGTTTCCCAGAAGTTATAATCACATCATCATGTGTTTCTTTTGCAAAAATAGGCACATATTGTCCAGTAGTCGGGATCACACCATCATGTGTCTCCCTTGAAAAACTAGGCACATACTGCCCAAAAGTTTTGACAATTGGTTGTCCTGAAGTTACTGACTGTGTTGTGGTAACTATGCTTGGTGAAGTCGAAGACACGACCACCATACTGGAACCTACACTCGTCATTGCACTGTACTTCCTCCCAGATTTTGATCCCTTTCAGGAGTTCTAGGATCTACCATTTTTCTACCACTTCTTAATTTCATACACAAAACAAGAAGACACAAACACAAACGTTTCCCACCGAGTGTGCCAATTTATTTCTCTATGAAACAATTGCTAGCCTCTTATTAAAGTTTACTTACAGGATCGGCTACAATAATCCTAGACTTAATGTTTTGAGTGTCTTTGGGTTGAATCTGGTTTATAAAAGGTAAAAGGGAAAAAGATAAATACATTTGCAAAGTAGAGAAATTAAAGACAATACTTGTAATTTCAAAGTAAAAATTGGAAATTGCTATGAATTTAAAGGTGGAAACATTCATACATTGTTAAGCCTGAAACTTGTTTCTCTCTTAGATGCGGGTACTTTGAGTGTAAGACTCTAAATATGAAGAAATGCAAACTTTGAAACAATTACAAACATTTTCTTAAATAGAAATCCTAAATATGTAACCATCGACGGTTACTAGCCCACGTTGGGACTTTGTCGAGAAATTGTCCTAAAATTTCTTTGAACCTCCCCACATTCTTACTGGCTACTGTGTTGATAATCGTTCCCTCCACCATAAATCCTTGCTTATCGACACCTATGCATGTCAATAATCTCCTCTCCATCCCAAGCCTTTCATGGACTAGCTCCTCTAGTCAATGCCTTTTTATGCCCTTTAGTCTTGGTCGACGCCTCATTTGTTCTCAAACCAATAAACTTACGCCTTTTCATCAAATAAACCCCACAACTTAAGACTTATTATCCCAGTCAGAAATTGCTTGTCAACAGTAACCCAAAAAAATTACCAACCCACTTATACCAAACAACCAACCCAACAACATTACCAATTATTTTTCCTGTTGTTTCTTTATTTTCATGTACAACCTTTCTTCTAATCGTACTTTAATTGAACCTGTAAAGGAACCTGTTCCTCTATGCTATATATCATCAGACCCGTTGCAGGTATTTACCTCACTATAACATTTTGTTGTTCTTGTGCTTAGGTGTTATGGTATACGTTATGTTGTTCATGTATATATGTGTAACTAATAATTACAATTATCTTTAGATGAAAAGAGATTGTTGATGAGGCAAAACCCAGTACCTCTGAAGGATCTGATTTGATTATGATAACCGTCTCTACCCTTCCAACATGTGCATCATTTAAATTGGTGACACATAATATATATTTGTTGTTGTAACTCAGATTATTTATGAAACTCATTGTGTAATAGGATCTTGAGATCACATCCAAGCACTGCCCGAACCCTATTATGTATGTTAGCAAAAGACAGTTTCCAGGTGTATCAAGCGAATCAATAAGCTCAGAAGGGTTTTGCGATGGGGAGCTATCATCAAACAAGCTAAAGAAAATTATCAAAGTGGAAAAGGATGATTAGTGGTGGCTTCAATTTATTATGAATTTTAGTTGTTTTGTTCTGATTTTATGTTGACAATGATTATAATTTTGAGTTTCATTCCTGTTTACTTTGTTTGTTTGGATGTGTATGATTAAAATTGTGATACTTTATTTTTTTGGATCTGTATGATTACACTTGTGTTACTCTAAGATGTCATAACTTGATGGTGTGTACTTTTTGTATTTACAATTATAATTATGACTTATTTGTATAAATCACTTTTAAAATAAATTCTAATTCAATATATTTTTATTCATACAAAAATTTATAAGTTTCTATTCAAATTATGATTTATAAATATCTGTTATTTTTATTCCACATCAAGAAAAAAATTATCATTTTGTATTCAGATTTTTTTTATAATAAATATCAGTTATTTGTAAAGTTTAAAATCAAGTTAAGAAATACAACTTCAATATGTAAACAAAATATTTAAAATCACCACTTTTATATTTGTTACATACTAACTTGGACATCAAAATCCACTTGAAAAACACAATGTGAGTAACTAAACATACCATTGACAACTAATATTGCAGTATACATTAATAGAAAATCATCATCACCACTTACTAATACTTATAATTTATAAAATACATGACTTATAATGATGCTTTTAATATTGTAATCATAGAAATTACATCCCCAACAAATAACCTGTCATGAAACATTCAACTCCTCAAATTCACATGTCATTTTAATTATTCTTTTAACATTTGTAGTCACAGAATTTACATCTCAAACATGAAATAAACATAAACAAAATACAAACACAACTAAACCTTCTTTTAAATTATATAACCAACACAATCTGATTCAACTTCTCTTCTTTGTCGGCTCAACATAAACCAAAATTTCATCAACCGACGGATATCGAATGCAAAAATGAAGAGTGTCTCCTTTCTTTAACTTTTTCTGTTTGAAAAACTCATACCACCCAGTAGTAAGATACTTCTCGCCTTTGTCGTCCTTTCTCACCTTCAATATACAGTTTTCGGAGATACCCTTGTCGGAATCGTATAACACAGTCGAATTGACCGGTCCATTTAAGCACTTCTTAATGACATCACGCGGTAATTGCTGCAAAACATATAGTGGAATTAACTTAAATTCAACCGTACAAAAATTACATATACTGATGCGATAATTATCTTTTATCACTTACCAACACATTTCTACGCATAACCTTAGCATTACGTACAATAATACTCCAGCTTTCTTCTTTTTCTTCCACATAGATTGTAGTATATAACCTGGAAACAATCACCAAACCAAATATATTCAAAATTAATCTGACTCTATTTTCCCCATACCTCTTATACATTACATTTTTTCCTTCTAAACACTCTTACTTGGTTCGACATATAACACACTTTTCGCTTTTTCACTACAATTATAATCTTCAAACAGACCCACATCATAAAAACAAATGCCCCAATGTTCGTCGCTACAGTTTTCTTGGTATTCTCTATAATTCTACTAAAAAGATCTACCTAAATTAACTCACTACTCTACAGTTATAGTCCTTCCAATAGAAACCCTATATAAATTATACAAATTGACAGCTTATTAACACGAATGAACAACAATAATATATTAGAATATTTTGCAACACTAACTTTTACGATACATTACATAAATCATAAATCATTGTTTCACAATAAACCAAGCACAACAACAATATATACAAACTTTACTTATAAAGTGATACATACCTCGACCTCTCACAACGTGCTTCCAAACCTGAGGATCCATCTGCACGATCGCCTACATATTTCTTTTCCTTCTTTTTTGCCTTCCATAGTTGAGATCCATCTTTTGCATGCACCTTCCTCTTACCCTCAACAACTTTGTGCGCAACAAATCCTTCAGCAGATCGTACACCGGATTTTACACTTTGCCACTTTTCTATTCATTCAATTAGTGTTATCCGCTTCTGAATATCAACCGAAATATCATGCTGCCTGCTCAACCGTTTCCACAAACATGCATGTTATTTTGGGCTATTCGGAATCTCCTCAACTACCAGTTGGGTTTTCTAGTTGTTAATCCACTGACCCACACCATCAACCTTTTCAACCACAAGACAATTATCGCTCTCTACTAAATCTTTCTCATACAGTTTCTGTAGCCAACTCTTCAATGGATATACAAATAACAAACGGGAAAATAACGTTTCGAGTAACAACATATATGATAATCAATCTAAAACTTATTTGAAGATGAAGTCAAAATATACCTTTGACGAATCATAAAAGGAGACAACAACGACATTGTCATTTTCAGCAAACTCCTATCTTTAAAAAAACAATGCTTTTGAGTCCACTATACTACTTTTATACCACAACACATATCCCAGTTTCCTCTTCCAATTTATCCTATATATATTGCTTTTTTATATTTTTATTTTTATTTTAACTTATTTTTTTATAATGTATAAATAAATTTCTATAAATAAAATCTTTTTTTCATTTTACTTAAAAATAAATAATATCTTTTATATATATATATATATATATATATATATATATATATATATATATATATATATATATATATATATATATATATATATATATATATATATATATTAACATTGAACAAAAATGAGAAAATTAGAAATACACAGATATTACAATACTTCCTTTTAAAAAAAGAATTACTAAGAAAACGAAGTAGGATGCTTCCTGCTACCATCCTTGCGCCTAACTAGAAAGTCACATTCACTCAACTTTCTTCTCTCTATATATACCATTTTTCCACTCCACTTAGACAAACACACAATCTTATCTTCTTTTTCTTCTTCTAATAAAACCAACTCCAACTTCAATTTAAGTAACACATAATAACCTCTCTTATGGCTAGCGCGGATGAAGTTTCAGCTCTTAAACGTATCAAACTGCATCTTCTGGGTGAATTTTCACCACTTCCATCTCCAATTTCACAACCTTGGAGTTTCGATTTTGATTTTCAGTTTCAAACCAACCAAACCAATCATGATTCTTCAATCTCTTTGGATCATTATTTCACTGATCTCCTTCAAACAGACACAGAAATTCTGACCTTTGAATTTGACTTCAAACCTCAAACAACTCAACCTGAGAGCCCTAAAACTTTATCATCTCATCCTCAGAATCCTCAACTGAAGAGAAAACCGTCTCTGGAAATCGCTCTCCCGAACAAAACCGAATGGATCCAATTCAGAAAACCGGATCCGAAACCGGAAGTGGTTGTACAGAAGCCGGAAGTTGCTGAGAAACAGCACTACAGAGGCGTTAGACAGAGACCATGGGGAAAGTTCGCCGCCGAGATCCGCGACCCGAACAAACGCGGCTCGAGACTGTGGCTTGGAACTTTTGAAACTGCTATCGAAGCCGCTAAAGCCTACGATCGTGCCGCTTTTAGGCTTCGTGGATCTAAAGCGATTCTCAACTTTCCGCTAGAAGTCAACGCCATGGCGGCGGCGGAGTCGGTGGTGGTGGAGAACGCCGGCGACAACAAAAAACGTTGCCGTGAAGAGGAAGATGATGATGTGGTGGAGGTGAAAAAGGAGAAAACGATGGAATTTGATGTGAACTGTTTTAAAGAAACGCCGTTAACTCCGTCAACTTGGACTGGGTTTTGGGACGTTGATGTTAAGGGGAGTTTCAGCGTTCCACCGTGCTCGCCGTTACCTTCCATTTGTTTTTCACCTCTAGTGCTTGTGTGAATTTTCTATTTTAGAGCTCCTTTTCTTATTGCATCCTCATCATAGAGAGATGCCAAATGTATATTTCATAAAATTATTTAATTTTTTAACTAAAATTTTCTTTATGGATATATTCCAAGTGCCTTTTTAATTTTGTTCAAATTCCTAAGTTTGAATATGTATGAATAATTATTAGTTAAATTTTAAATGCTTTCTAGTTAAGAGGTTTTGATTTTCTTAATACCATGAAACACTAGAGAGGAAAAACGATTAAAAATGTAACTCTCCTGGAATAGTGTATCTAGCACAAACAAAGATTCAGTATGTTTAAATATGTGAATAAATGATGGGTTAGTGTGACTTGTATACTTGCTTTGACCATCAAAATTTCTATTGCGTTGTAACTTGTTCATCCCTTATCTAAATACTTAAGAGTGTGACACACTTTCTTGAAGTGACTTATATAGTCACGGTTATTACTGTAATGTTTTTAGGACTCGGTCGTGTAATAGATATTATTAACTTCTTAACTGACTCATGACTAAGTCCGCTCCTTATAGTGTGTCGTGGCGAGACAATCAATATGACTTGTGGTTGGATTCACCTCACCAATATTGATTTAATTAACCTCCATGGATCTAACGTGCTATAGGGATAATGAGTTGAGTCATATTGATGTTAAGTAGGCCTAGGCTATAATGAAATATTTACACTCATTCAAGCATTTTTAAATTTGTAATTTCTTGTATTGAAGTAGGTTATTGTTCGAACACAAGATATGTCGAAGTGTCGTAAGCAGGTTATTACACACAGATTTTACTTCGATTTGATTTAGGTCTAAAATAAATATTTTAGATTTTTATAATTTCGGGCATTTTAGCTTAGAGATCAAGCTAGCTCAGTTATAAATAGATGGAATAACCTTTATCTTTGTAACCAACTCAGATTGATTATTCACAGTATTTACAGTTGTAAGTGAATAAAAGTTTTTCCACACTTTGTGAACATATAGTTACTCTGTAGAAACCTTAAATCTCTTTTCTTCATTAAATTTCTTTTATTTTCATCGTTATTGTGTGAGTGATAATAATCTTGTTCATCAAGATTGATAGAAATTTATCATAGAGGTGGTGGATTTCCAATATCTGGTATCAATAGTTCCGGTTGAGCAATCAAGGGAAGAAGAAGAAATCACGATGGCGGTGAATTAGAGGAATGGAAATTATCCAGCAAGTCTTCCAATTCTGAAAATAAATAACTATGAGAATTGGTGCAAACAGATGAAGGTTATGTTCAGGTGTGAATATCTTTGGGATCTTGTAAAGGATGGATTAAAAGCGCTTAGAGAAGACGCTTCATAAGAAGAAAAGAAAGAACACATAGAATCGAGGAAGAAGAGTTATAAATAACTCTTTATAATTCATCAATGTCCGAGTCTAGAAAATTTCAAATAAGTGAGTGATTCAAAATCTGCAAAAGAAGCTTGGGAGATCCTTGAGAAGTCTTTTGAAGGTGCAGAAAAGGTGAAAGAGGTGGGATTACAAACTCACAAAAGAACGTATGAATTGATTCAGATGGAAGATAGCGATATCATATCTGATTTCTTCACTAGGGTTACGAAACTAGTGAACTAAATCAAAGTATGTGAAGAAGCGTTAACAACAAGAGTTTTTGTTTCAAAGATCTTGAGGTCTTTGGCTCCTAAGTTCGATCACGTGGTGGTAGCCATAGAAGAATCGAAGGATTTATCGAAGTTAACAAAAGAGGAGCTTCAAGGAACACTTGAATCTCATGAACAACGAATGGTTGAAAGAGTTGCAGGCAAGTCGAAGAGTGATGTGGCTTGTCAGGAACAATCAGCAAAAGAAAGTAAAGGCGAAGGAAATTGGTTCGACAAAGGTAGAGGTGTCTACAACAATTCGACTGGAAGAGGAAACCAGCTGAAAGGAATTGTGTCAAATCAAAGAAGACCCCATTACCAATGAAACCAAATAGGTGGTTCTAGAGGTAGAGGAAGAGATGATGGTCAAAAGCCTAACAACAGTCACATTCAGTGTTACAATTGTCAGAAGTATGGTTAATATTTTAGTGATTGTCCAGAAAAGAGAAAGAATCAAGAAAGTGATACAAAATTTGTAAAACATGAAGAAGAAGAAGAAGAAGAGATGATGCTGATGGTCACAACAAGAGATGAAGATAGATTCAAGGACCAATGATACTTGGATTCAGGATACTCATCACACATGACTAGAAGGAAAGATTGGTTTGTCAACATAAAACCCTCGATGAAGAACATGGTGAAATTTGTAAATGACAATACCCTAGCAGCTGAAGGTATTGGTGATGTAATGATTATGAGGAAAGATGGCAAGAGTCAGTAATTTCCAATGTGTTGTACATACCAGGCATGAAGAGAAATTTTCCCAGTATATGGCAGTTGTTCGAAAAGAACTATAAGGTGTCGATCAAAGACAAGATAATGAGCATCATCGATGCAAATGAAAGGTTAATCTTGAAGGCTCCTATGTCTCAAAATAGAACCTTTAAGATCAAACTAAATGTGATGGAGCACAAGTGCCTTTCGACTGCAGCTAGCAAAGATGAATGAATATGGCACTATCAACTAGGCCATCTCAACTTCAAAGACATCAGAGATTTGAAAAGAAGAAATATGGTTTCAGGGTTTCCAGAAATCGATATTCCAAATAAGGTGTGTGAGGAATGTGTGTAGGAAAATCAACACAAGAACAACTTCAACAAAGATGCAGGAAGCAAGTTGAAGGCTATTCTTGAAATCATATACCCTGATGTATATGGACCAATCCAGGTAGATTTGATGGGAGGTAACATATACTTTGTCACATTCATATATGATTTTAGTCGAAAGTTGTGGACTTACCTGATCAAGAAGAAAAATGAAGTGTTCGAGGTATTTACCAAGTTTAAATCAATGGTCGAAAGACAAAGTGGTCGAAAGCTCAATGTTTTGAGAACTGATGGTGGTGGAGAGTATGTGTCGAAAGACTTCAATACATTATATGAAAAATAAGGGATTGTGCATGAGGTGGTGCCACCCTACACTCCACAACAGAACGAAACTGCAGAAATTAAATGTCGAACCATCATGAATATGGTGAGAAGTATGTTGAAAGGCAACCATTTAGCTAAAGAGTTTTAGGGTGAACTTGTGTCAACAGCAACATACATTTTGAACAAATGTCCGATGAAGAATCTAGAAGGAATTACTCCAGAAGAATTTTGGTCTGGTGTGAAGCCTATCTTGAGTCATTGGAAGATATTTGGATCTATGGCACATAGACATGTGCCAGATCAATTGAGAAGAAAATTTGATGACAAGTCAAGTCAAATGATCCTAGTAGGATATCATTCGACATGAGGTTACAAGTTGTTCGACCCAGTGAACAAGCAGATTATGATCAACATGGACGTGATCATAAATGAGCTAAGGAATGGAATTCGACTGAAAATCTCAAGAAGGATTCAATGAGAATCTTACTTGAATAACCAGAAACTCAACTCAAAAGAGAAGTATGACAAAAGGAAGTTATAGATCAACCATGTACATGCCTACAAGGTTGCAAGATTGTGCGATTACATCAAATGATGTGGTCGATGCTGAAGGTGAATTGGTAAATTATGCTTTCTATGCAGATGTCAAACCAAATAATGCAACTGAAGCATTGAAGGATTCAAAGTGGGTGAAAGCAATGAATGAAGAAGTGAAGTCCGTTAAAGATAACAACACTTGGTCACTTGTCAAATTTCCTCAAGGCGAGAAGGCAATCGATGTGAAGTGGGTATACAAGTTGAAGATGAATCCCATAGGGGAAGTAACTCGACACAAGGCAAGACTTATGGTGAAAGGATTTCTTCAAAAGGAAGGAATTAACTTCGATGAAGTATTTGCACTTGTTTCTAGAATCGAAACAATTAGGATGGTTGTTGGTCTAGCATAAATGAATAGTTGGCACGTATGTCAGATGGACGTGAAGTGTGCATTCCTGAATAGACCCTTAGACGAATAAGTTTATGTTGCAAAACCAGTTGGGTTTGTGAAGCATGGCAAAGAGAGAAAGATGTACAATCTGCATAAAGCCCTGTATGGATTAAAGCAAGCTCCAAGAGCTTGTAATAAGAATATAGATGTCTTTCTAAGGGAGAAGGAATTTGTGAAGTTCACAACTGAACATGGAGTATATGTAAGAAGAAGCAACAATGAATTGCTTATACTATGTCTCTATGTCGATTATTTGTTGATAACAAATAGCTGCAAGAGTGAGATCGAAGACTTCAAAGGTGATATGAGTAAGAATTTAAAATGTCTGATTTGGTGAAATTTCATATTTCCTTGGTGTTGTACCCCAAAATCTTCCATCTCATTTTACTCAATACATGCTCCTAAAGATCCTCAAGTTGCTCAAGTTTGCCCAAGAGTTGACCAGGCAAACTCCCTCCTAAGGTAGTGTACCTCAAATTAAGGTTTCCATTTTCATCAAGATGGATGAACCACAAATGCCTCATATGATCTCCATGGCCTTAATGTGTGCCCAAGATCATCCATGTCAAGTTTCATGCCTTGCACAAGAAGTTTGCTTAGTCAACTGCTCAGATGCTTGAGAATCGACTGTATTAGGTCAAAAGTCAATTATGGCTCACATACAGTCAAACTTCAAGATTTTTGGTCAACATCACCATTTGGAAGTTATATCCATCATTTTACCAAGGGTTGATCATGATTCCCCAAGGAATGCTCCAAATTCATCAAAACCCAAAAGTTGCTAAATTAGGGTTTCTCAGTAAAAGTCAACCCAACTTTGATCAAGCATAACTTCCACATGCTTTATCAGAAATTTTCCATCTAAAGCTCATTTTGAAGAGGATGAAATTCCGTACAATTCATCTTCATCTCACAAGTTCAAAATATGCACTCATCAAAAGATATGAATTTTTACATTATAGGTCCTTTTGAAAAGTCAACAAAAACACCTTTTGGGTCAAAG